GTATCGCTCTAATGAATTGTCTTGTCGCATTCTTTTGATCACATTCGGTTGATGGTTTGCAGCTCGAAGCCTATCTCATGTCAGAGGCTTCCCCATAGCGCCTCCATTCTTAGCTCGGCACAAAACATGGTCGTCTGATAGTATTTAAAGCTACGTAGCCTAGCAACAAAACATTTATCAATGCATCGAAGCCTGACGAGGGCTCTTACCGGCACTCAAATATATCATAATCATAAAAGTGTTCTGTAGCAGTAACTGACGGAACACAGTCATCTATGTTCCCATTCCAATCCATATAGAGCCCATATCATGGCCAATAGTCGTAGCTGCCTACCTCGGGAGGCATTACGCGGACTATTACCGATCGTAGCAGCGCCGCTTTACCGCTCATTAATACACACAGCGCCGCTGACAAATTGCTACACGTGTCCCAAGCAGGCCGATCGAGTGGGCCGCCGGCGACACTTGTTATTCGGAGCGGTTACCGCGCACGCGACGCGGCTCCATGTAACAATGCCCCCGTGTACGGGCCGTAGGCATTATCGTCACTGTCGCGTGCCGACACCGGTTCCAACAGCCCGGTACGGCCGACAGGCGGCGGCCCGTACCGGCGACCGTTTATTGAACCCGAGCAGGCGATCAGCCACGCGACAATTTGCAGTGTCAGTCTCCCGGGACGCGAATTCCGGAGCCGAGGCAAATTGCTGAAACGCAAGGTGGTTTCAACTTTCAACTTTAATAGAAATTTCTGTTCATGTATGGTATGTAATTGCTTGATGCGTGCGATAAGTTCTGAATTAGCCAACTTCATGTGTTAGGAGAAGTGGGCTTTTACTGTAGGTACCTATTCATGAATTCCTTTAAAGATTTTGCAGGCTACCTTACCCATTCCAAAAGCAAAAATCCACGTTTTACTTGCTGCCACGTGTCTGTATTATTTTCTTCTGCTATTTATTATGTGTCACTAATCAACAGAGCGGCGTCGACACGTCATGCGTTTTGTAGGCGCCTCATGCGTTATACAGACCCGCCCCGCGTCATGCACCACACCGGCTCCCACAGACGCCGCGCTGTGAGCAGCCTTCAGGCACATTACTCAGTCGGCGCAGTGGGCCGGGACAGCTCCATCCCCTCCTTCCGACCGACTGGCCGGCCGGCGCCAGTCGCCGCCCACCTCTGACCTGTCGATGCCCTCCGGCGAAATGGATCGCTGTTTTGAAAGCGGCCAACACCTATCCGTTATCCTGCCGACATTCGGAGCGGTTCGGCTGGCCGACAATCGAGCCGCCAATGGAGCCGCTAGATTGCTTCCCACTCCACCGCCCCGGCGGTGAACGCTAACTCTTCCGCGCGCCGGCAAAACACACGCCGATGTAAATAATTCAGCCGTCGATCGGCGTGGTGATATCCCTCAGCCCTCCCCGACCCGCACGGACCACTCAGTAACGGTCAGCTCTAAAAACAGCCGGCCCGCAATCGCCTCAGCACGGCAGCGCCGGCGGTAATAATGTAATCTTCTGTTGCCGTTTTGCACCACTTGGCGTAATATATGTCCGCCATGAACACTGCGGTACGGCTGTGGCGTACGGGTCACACTGCTGTGCAGAGCCGGCCATTCAGGGAGACCCCCTGCGCTGCGCCGACGTTGCCTCCCATGCTGTCTGCTATCGGCAGCGCTGGCGGTCCATCTGTCCTGCTGGAATATCGTGCCGTCGGGCAGCCACTGGGATGCCGGCCGGGTGACAAATGATGAGCAAATGACGGCACCACGCATTAGCCGCGGCCGCTGGCCAGTAACGATACATACAGACGCCGCCGCCAGCTGCGACCCGGCCTGGCGGAGTGGGCGGTGGCGGGGGCGGGGGCGGGGGCGGCACAGTGTGGACGGCCACAGCTGGTAACGGGTAAAGACAGGGGACCGAAATAAGAGTGCCTGTTGTAGCTCAATTAGAGGGCACGGCGGGATCCAACAACCTGCTCAGCAACACAGGGTCCAACGTCGAACCAGCTCAACGGGGTCCAATCATCGAAGCGTGAACTTTCGTGGAAAATATGGATGAGATCATGCAACATGGGATTTTGGCACAGTTCACAATATACACATTGCACAGCTCCCATCGAAGTCACCAAAGAGACAATCGTGACCATCACAAACTTCGACAGCACCCCGCGGAGCGGTTTCTTGTCTCTGGTCTCTCGCCTTTCCTTTGGATTGGCTGCAAGAACACGCCAGAAAATAGCCGCCGGAAAGTTGGACGGAAAATAATGGTTCCGTCACCTGCATAATGTGATTGATTGTAGGTGATATTAAATCGGCTGTTTTGCAATTCCGAACTGCATAATCGAGCTCGCAGACTTTGATCAAAGGTGGCTGGAAAGATGTTATTCAGACTGGTGCTTGTAATTTCAGCTTCAATTTCCTCCTTGGTTAGACTTGTTTTTTGGCGCATATGTTGAGAATGTTTCAAGTAGTTGGCTGTGCAGCATAACAGTGATTCAGCTGTAAACGAAAATACTAATTTGAACCGAGGCAGGCCATGCTACGCTACATTGATTTCAGCCTGCTCACAAAACTTTCCCACGGCGCCCGCAGTGCCATTAGACTCAGACCATAACTTGCGGCAGGATAAATAGCAACTGCTAAGAAAACATACGGCAAAGATCAAATATCATGCATGTGAAAAGCAGCGTGGTAGTTTGCACATGGCATGCTCGATGAAAAGGCTGCTGTTTGTTCTTGTCATACTTTCAGATGGCAGATGTTGAGTATGAGATGACATCATGTGGCAAATGCTGTTAGCTGGCTCTTTGATGTCCGAGATTAGCTATTACATCGGACGGGAAAGGTCACACATCAGACCTCGACACTCTTAGAACTGGCGCACAGGCTGGGCAGAGCAGAGGCAGCGTCGGATGAGTCGAAAGACAGAGTCGTAGAAAGACAGGTCAACGTGCGGCGGAAGCTCACGAGATCAGGCGTCGATATCTGGCCGGTGGAGCGTGATCAGAGGGATTAGGAGCCGATCGGCGGTGGCCGGCCGGCCGCGCGGCGCCTCTCGTCGGTTCAGCGGCGCCGCTCGTCCCCTCCGCGCGCGAGGGGAGCAGCTGCAGGCCCGGGCAGCGTCCCGCCCTCCCCCGTTATGCACATTTCGCCACCGCTTCGATCTGCAGCCGTTGCGCCGCCCGTGGGAAACGATACCAGGCCTGTTTGGCGTGGGTTGCCATAGTAACCGCACAAGGAACGGCCGTTTCAGGCAGCTGCTGACGCGGTAAAAGGGAATATCGGCGCCATGAACGGCCCCAAGTTTGTCACAGTCTGCCGGCGCCCGCACACATTGTGAAACTGGTCAGAAACGCGGCCGGTCGATCGCCTGTAGAGATGCAAAAACACCCCAATGATGAAAGTCAGCACAAGACATTCCCGCGACCTGAAAAAATAACAGCTTCCCTCATGAAAACACCGATCGCTTCCTACAGGCTAGATCTCAAATAAAGGGTGATCTTAGACGAGCCCAGGCCCAGCCGTTCAGTCGCAAAGCTCACGTCTACCGTCAAATCGGCACCGGTCCGAATGTAAGTCCGACGTTCGACCCGCTGGCTTGATATTGGCACCACTGGTGGATAGCCATCTAAAGCCACGATGACGCTTCCCCATTCAGAGTGGATGCGGCAGATATATTATTCGAATCGAGAAGGATGAGCGAATGAAACGGTTTCAGACCATTCACATACGGCTTTGGGATGGACGCCTTGGAATGGATATGGAGGATTGGAAAGGGAGGAACTCGGAGAAACTTTGCCACCAATAGATGCATAGGTAAAACCAAAGATTCTGGTACCTGAACAAACATCAACAAATGTAATGAGGTCATGTATGCTATTCCTCCACAACACCATGCATGTGCAGAAATCTATCATGTGTGCCAGCTGCCAAATGAGCATGACGGCTCAAAACCGACATATTTAATGCAATGCACCTCTAGCAACACTTCACAGCAAATCAATTTGTACCAGATTCAATCGATACTTAACTTCTGATTGAGCAAGGCCGGCACATAACTAAAGTCACCCTTCGGACGGCATAAGCGTCGGATCGAACCTCGCTCGGCGGCCCTGCCGTCTTCTGGCCGGTCGCCTGTAATCATGGTGCAGCGAGCTGACACCTTAATTCGGCCCGCGTCAATGTGGATGGTCATTGCCACGATCGATAACCGATACGCGGCGTGGCCCGATGCCAGTCACTTGGCCGGCGCTCGATCAGGCCGCAGTCCATTCCCGAGGTCCGGCCATCAATTGAAACGTTTCAGCATGACGACTCGATGATGAAATTCAACTCAACGGTACAAACATCACGCGGGGAATGAAAATGGCCGTCATCGAGTAGAGCTGTTCGATATTGTTCGGCAGTAAGCATTAGCTGCGTGCATTATGGATGAGCGATGCACCACAGAAGTTCAATGTCATGCAGTCCTTAACTCGGAACACCATTAGTATTTTCGAGCCACATCCAAAGCCACAATGCACTCTTCAAGCATGCTTTTACAGCGTCATAAATATTACAGGAAAACATAGGCTTTTCAACAAGACGCTGGTTAAATATTCATCGAATTCCAAGAGTAGTCTTATCTAAGTCGTTACCGTGACATGTAAACACTGGCTTTGTCAAATGGAGCTCCGTTATGGTAATCCTGTGTGGTTAACTACTTAGTAGCCCCGCGATAAGTACTCGGTCGCCTGCTATGGCCTACTGCCCTCAATCTAAGTCGTAATTAGACGAAATATTATCACTCGCCATCAGATCAGCAGCAACTGCGATGTTCCCGTCCAAAATACCTCAACTATGCATAGTGACAAGTCCCAGGGGCATGTAGGGTGTAAAACCGCAAGTAACACGCAACCTAAAATGCCCGAGCCCAACAGCCATCGTGTAACGTTTACGATTCGGCAGCTCTACATACAATCGGACACCGCATTTACCTCCCTCTCCCTTGTCTCCACAGGCGCGCGATCGTCACAAACGGCGACGTGCGCGGCACGACCCCGCTGACCGCCCTGCTGCGGCACGACTTCTGGGGCACGCCGCTCGAGCACGCCGGCTCGCACGGCTCGTACCGGCCGCTGACCGTGCTCACGTTCCGCGTGACGCACGCGCTGGTGGGGCTGCGGCCGGCCGCCTATCACGCCACCAGCGTGCTGTTGCACGCGGCGTGCAGCGCGCTGGTGGCCGAGACGGCCGCCGGGCTGTCGGCCGGCCGGCGCGCGGCGCTCCTCTCCGGCGCCCTGTTCGCCGTCCATCCGGTACATGCCGAGGCAGTGGCCGGTCTGGTGGGCCGCGCAGACCTGCTGGCGCTCCTCTTCACCCTCTGCTCGCTGCTCAGCTACGCACGGCAGGCGCGGGCCCGGCGCGCGGCCGGCGGCTGGGGCTCCCCCGAGCGGCGGTGGCTGGCCGCCGCGCTCGGCTCTGCCGTGCTGGCCGTGCTCTGTAAGGAGCAGGGTATCGCGGCGCTGCCCCTCTGTCTGCTGTACGACGTCTGGGTGAACAGCAGGATCAGCCTGACGGCGCTCATCACCAGCAGACTGCAGGTACGGAGCGAGAGGGTGGTCAGGGGAGAGGGTCGACTGACTTGGAGCCGACCGACTGAGGTGTGTCAGTGGACACTCATTCAGAGCCTAAATCGGTGTCCTCTCATTCCGAGTGACCCATGAAAAGTCGCTGCCAGATTATGGTATAAAACAGCTTGCGGGTCATCGAATTGGCTATAAAATGCTAGGTAACGTAGGTACTTATAGCGATACATTCGCAAAAATTATAGCACGGGCTAAATACGGCGCCAGTCGACTTCCTAGTAATCCAGGGGATCGTAACAAGTTACTACCCAACTTAGTCCATGAGCAGCTTTATTCACCGTCGATTAAACATAATGGCGTCAGAACATCTGCTGAAATGAGCTAAAACTTTGCCTAAGCGCCAATTTATCCGGGTATTTAAAGCCTACGACACAATGTGGGATGAGATTGAATGCAGCGGAACGATTATTTTAATGCTTTCCTATAATACGTGTACGGAAAATGCACTCCAAACACGAGCTTTTATGCGATTGATTCGCATGGAACTTTATCGGTTATGGCATTTAAAATCTCGAACGCATTTTAGGACTGTTTTGCATACATTGTCATACAGTAGAATGTTTCTTATTGAAACAGATCAAATAACTTGATAATGATAACTTCATTTTATGAAAACTGAAGATGCATATAGTAAAGGTATCACCAAAGAGTAGCGTTTCGCTAACCCAAGCGCCTTAAACTGCAGATTACCCAGAGCTCACGCTCCAAACGCCTGTTACGTTTCAGGACAAGCGGCTGCAGCGGCTGCGCCAGTGCTGCGCGCTGGTGGCGCTGGCCTGCTGCGCGCTGCTGACCGCGCGCCTGTCCCTGCTGCGCGGCCGGCTGCCCTGGTTCTCGGCCGCTGATAACCCGGTGGCGTCGTGCGACAGCCGTCTGAGCCGGGCACTGACCCTGCTGCACCTGCCGGTGGTCTCTGCCGGTCTGCTGCTGCTGCCCAGCCAGCTCAGCTACGACTGGGCCGAGACGGCCGTGCCGCTCATCACACAGTTGGGCGATCTCAGGAACGTCGTCTCGGCCGTGTTTTATGTCGGCCTGGCGGTCATGTTTTACGCAGCGTGTCATCCTTTTTCTGACACCAGTTCAGCTAGCAGCAGCATCAACGTCAACCACAACAACAACACCGTAAAGAGAACGGCAGACACGGGCGCAGACAACCCGGGCCGAGCGTCTCTGCTGTTCGCGCTCAGTTTCGCCGTGCTCATGTTTCTTCCTGCCAGCAATCTGTTCTTCTACGTGGGCTTTCTGGTGGCGGAGCGGGCCCTGTACGCCCCCTCAGTGGGGTTCTGTCTGCTGGTGGGCGCCGGACTGGCTCTGGCGGAGTCCCGCTGGCGCCGGATAGGGCCCACACTCAGTGTGCTGCTTCTGGCCGTGCTGGCGGCGAGAACTGTGGTCAGAAACCAGGACTGGCGAGACGACAGGGCCCTCTACACCGCTGGCATCCGACACTCACCGGCCAAATGTGAGTGAAATTATCGAGTGAACAGGTGCGCTTTACATGGAGTGGGATTTAATTATAAATATCGTTTCATTGTCATTTAACAGATGATAGTGGCTCGTTCCCTTGTAGGCAATTACATTGCCTTTGCTAAGCACATCGATTTCAAAGAATGCCGCCCTTTCTTCGGAACAAACTGTCGAGTTGTTCTCAACGGTTTGGAAACTAAAGGCTAAACGCTGGGCGTGCCGTCCAGCTATAAACAAAGACGAACGAAATCTTTAGGATCAACTTGAGATGAAGCTGCCTGGATGAACAGCAACGCTTTGACATTTTACTGTCAGAAGCGAAACGAAACCGTACGGAGCGCCCTACTCTCGAGCTAAGCCGGCCCCGCAGAGTATGGAACCCCACTGTGCTTTTATGACGCGGAAGCGGCTCGGGTTAGCGTTTTCCCTGATTCCCTGCAGTCGCCGGCTGCCGCGCCGCGTCTCTCTTTGAATGGCTCTCCGTTGACTGACATTGTTCGTTGCAGCGCTGGGCAACCTGGCCACCATTCTGGCTAGCCAGGGTCGTCTGGAGCAGGCGGAGAGGGCTTACCGGGCGGCGCTCTCGGTCCGAGGGAACATGGCAGACGTCCACTATAACCTGTGAGTTACCGACGGTGCTGCGCCGATTGGGCGGGCGGCGAGAGAGCCAGAGCGGGACGATTGGAAGGGGGGAGAGTGAGAGAGTGAGAGAGAGAGAGAGAGAGAGAGAGAGAGAGAGAGAGAGAGAGAGAGAAGGCAGATAGAAAGAGAGAGAAAGAGAGAGATAGATAGATAGAGAGAGAGAGAGAGAGAGAGAGAGAGAGAGAGAGAGAGAGAGAGAGGGCGGGAGGGGCGGGGGGAGGGAGAGTCCGGCCTCGCAATACACAGGAGGGAGCCACTTCTGTGAGTGGCATCCGCTGCGAAGTCAGCAGGTAAACAGGGACAGTCGGAAGCCGTAATAGGATTACGGTATCCGGGGACCGGGCTCGGCCATTACGTGGGAGTCGGAGCTGCTGACTCGGCTGACCTGTTTGCCGGCTATTCAGCAATTCGACAACTCACTTAGACTCTGCTGTAGAACAATCATTTCGGAGAGAGACGTAGCTAAAGACATTGCGCACATAAACAAGCTGCAAAATCATCATGTCTTAACCCGCGCCCCACTGGGGGGGGCTATTTATAGCCCCCCTCCCGTTTTTCTGCAATAACTTCCACACCGCTTGACGTATCGACGCCAAACTTTCAGTACCTTAGGCTGCATCAATTTGACACCTTGTGTCAAAATTTGAACTTCGTACCTACTATAGGTCGGCCGGAAATGACGTCAGAGTGACGTCATGTTCGGCCGATTTCGACGCAAAACATTGAACCACGGCAATCGCTCCCAAGAGCTCAGTTTTTAAGCTAGATCCAATTTCTTTGCATGAGAGGACTCAGAATAGATTGCGCTATCAAACTGCTATCTCGGATTTTCGAAATTTTGAAAATTTCGAAAATTTATATAATAATATCCAAAATTTATATTTTCACATTTTTTTCAAAAAGTTTCTGACTTTTCGAAAAAAACGGAATATATGTGATAGAACGCATTATTATGACTAATTCTAGCAAGTTTTAGCTAAATATCTTCAAAAATGGCCAAGTTTTACGCATTATTGCAAAAATTCACAATTATTAATTTTTCAAATCAATTTTTCAGCACGTATTTGACATCGTACGCCAATATAAATAGCACCATCGTGTTCCTGAGCTCAAACTGCATCCAATAGACACCTTTTTTGTTAAAAAATTTTAACTTCAAAATTTGACCTTTTTTTACCTGAAAGTGACCTAACATAAGCTAAATTCGACTCAAAATGACCTCGAATAACACAGACGACATCAAATTCGAAATCTCTGACCTAAATGGACCATAAAACATGTGTCACGTGACCGACGCATGATATAATATTTTCGTGACCTGTGATGACCTGACCTTGACCTGAAAATCAAAGTACAAGTTTGGTACCCTCAGGGTAACTAGAGCATCTGTTCCCGAGTGTGTGATCCAAAAATGAGCCTGGTCTGACTTGTAAGACGGCGGCCAGAGCCCAAAACGTGATCAAGCCAAAATGCTAATAATATTTACTTTGACCTGACCTGTGACGTCATCGGTGACCTCGAGGTCAATGAAATTAGGTTTCGCTCGACAGTTTTTCCGGGGCTATCAGACGCCGTTTGAATTTTGACAATCGGCCCAGTAGTTTCGGAGTTAGGAGGGGGGGCTATGAATAGCCCCCCCCCCCCCCCCCCAGTAGGGCGTGTTATACGCAGACCCCAGTGGGGCGCGGGTTAAGAACCGGTCATTAGCTCAATGGAATTCGTAATTTGTTTTCGGCACGTCACGGAGATTTTCTAATATGAATTCTAAAATATCAGTGACATTACGGCCTCACAAAATGCACGGAACCTCACAGTCATGCACAGATAAAAGTACATATAAGTGCAGGGCACTCACGTTACGTTTTTTTTCACAGTCATTTACTTGCAATATTCTCAATTCTAAAGGGTAGAGGTAGAATTTCAAATAAAACATCAGAAGTTGTTCAACCGACGCGGCGCCCTGTGGAGTCCATCCAGCCCGAGCATATCACCTGTACTGGTAGACTGTGCCGCTGAACACCGGTGCCGCGCGGCATAGTATACCTCCCAGGCATCACCGTGAGCCGCCCGCCGAGCCGCGCTGGCGCTGCTCCGCTCCATCACCGCGCCGCACCTCCCCAACAACACCGTCGGCTGTTTTAACATCAGCTAATACAGTTTGCAGCCGACCGTGTCGGCGCGCCGTTGAGCCGCGCTTGTGTACGCTCCCCCGCTGTGTATAACCCGTCCGGGGCTGGCATTCGATTAGTGTCACAGCGCCGCGCGCCCCCGTCCCGGGGGACTCATCTCACTGTGCTCGGCGCTGTTCCGTCAACGGACCGAAATGACACTCACACACGTGAAATGACTCAGTCCCGGGCTCATTTGGCCAAAATTACATTACGGATGCGCGCGGTGTGGGCTGGAAGTACACGGCAAAAACGGTACTGTGCTCGCGAGGGTCTCCTAATGCCATCTTGGTGCAGCGGTGCAAAGTAATTGCGATCGATACTCACTGATGTTTTGTTTCGTTTGCAGAGGAAACCTTTTATACTCGCAAGGAAAGTACCGTCAGTCAGCAGCCTGCTACCAAGATGCGGTCGGATATCGACGACAATTTGCTCGTAAGTTTACGTATTTTTTGCTCATGTTGGTAAAGCTCTAAATGGGTTGTAAATCCTGCTGGGTACGTTTGATATGTTCGCTACTGTGAAGAGATGACATTGCAATACGAGCTTCTCATAACGATATAATACATGAACAAACATTTCATTCCTCAACAGAATATGAACGGAAGTAACACGAAGTACTTTTTACCTTTTCAGAAGCCTACCTCAATTTGGCTCACGCCCATCTGAAGCTAGGCCAGTCTGTGTTGGCTCGACAAGTGCTGCTGGCCTGTCGTGATCTGCACGGGTCGCGAATACGTGACCCCCGGTCACACACCTCAGCCAAGGTCGGCTGTCTGGTGGAGCTCGGTCGGCTGTACGCGGAGGAGGACAAGGACCCACCGCTGGCCCTCAAACAGTACCTCCTGGCACTCGGTCTTGCTCCCGAAGGCTACAACAAGGAGGTAAGCATGCAGCTGTCTTAGGTTTAATAAAATATGTCTTATTATTACTTCGCCTGAATAGCATGCATTTTAGCGCTGCTGTAAAAAAAAAATCATGGAAATGGATAATGAGAAGTGAACTAGGCGGCCGTATATAGCTTGCCCCAGGGCGCCCAACGAAATAGTGCACCGTTAAAAGCTTTCCAGCTGAAATATTCCACCCTGGCATTCCAAAACATCGCATGTTTATTTTTGCACAGTAAATCAAGACCGATTGAGTGGTGCAGCTTATCACTCATCCGAGCAAGGTCGGTAACCAAAACTTCATAATGCATACCATAGAAGCTCTCAATAAATAGAACAAATCTCTTACTCCTCACTGAAGAACCAAACACTCTCTTTTGGTGAAGAGTCGGTTTTCTAAAATTCCTTTCGCGATGGCCGCGAGGTTGTCTCAACCGGGCTGCATATCTGGCAATCCGGCTTATTGAGCGATCAGTCGGCTGCCGCCGGCAGAGCAACAGCTGCGACGGAAAGAGGAAGGGAGGGGGACCGGCCTCGGCGCTCCGACCGCTCCGCTCCCCAACAAAACCCATCCGTCTCAACCGGCCGCGGTAGCAGAGGCGGCGGGGACGGTGGAGCTGCCGGTGGTAACAGTTTAAACGCGGGCGATAGTCGCCGTGGCAGTGGCACTGGCGATGGCAGTGGCGGTGGCAGTGGCACTGCAGGCGGTGACGATGATGACGTCAATATTGACAACTGTTGCTAGCAGAGAACCCATCTGTCTCACGGATCAGACCAATATGGCCAGCCGGTGTGTCACAAATTACGTTAGAGCCGGCGATAACGATGTCACCGACCGTTGACACATGTCACCGCTTTGTTACCGGCGCCAGCCTCGACACGACAGCCGCGTCCTGAACAACTTTGTAATGTCCGAACTTTGGGCTGCTCAGTGTGTTACTGTCGAGCGGTGCAAACAAACACTTCAGGATGAAGTAGGCTTTGTAAGTCACTCAGCGACTGTAAAGCCGACAGATGTTCGTTTATTCCGCATCTTCTCATGCATTTTTCGTTTATCTCGTTCATCCTTTTATATAGTATGTATTCTGGGTCTGCAAGCCAGGTCGGCAAAATTGAGCACTTTCCATTCTCCCAGAGCTCCGTCGTCTGACCTTTCACCCATCTGAGACCGAGCCTTGCTGATCTACGGGTTCAAGGTTCCATCTGCGCTAAGTGTGATGTGATGTTCGGTAAACGCCGTGCAGACGCCAGCCGTGGAAGCCGGGAGTGAGCCGCATATGCAGCGTCCGGCCGGCGGGCGGTCTGGGCGGGGGCGCGGGCGGTGCCGCCCGGAGAGTGGTGCCGCTATTTACGTTGGACGACATGGCTTCGCTTTCAGACCATCTATAACCTGATCGGAGAGGCTCAGTACCGCATGGCAAACTACGAGGAAGCCGAGAGCTGGTTCAAGAAGGCGCTGGAAATCCAGCCCGCCATGGTGCACGCTCACCTGTTCTACGGAAAAATGCTCGCCAAAAATGTAAGTGGCTAACAGACTACGCATGACTATTGGGCATTTACGATAGTAAATTTAATCTTATCCTTTTGCAAGAAACCCAGCTGGGAGAAATAAGCTGGTTTTGTTTTATAATGAACGCCGTTGCTGTGTTTGCGTTCTCGCAATATTACTCAACTTCGTGCACGCCATTGTTGCTTCTATCCAACGAAATAACATCAAACATCCCTACGGTGTTCCCAAAGCAGCCCTTTGAAACACAGTGTGACAAAGATGACACAGTTCCTGAAGCGCTTCTTGCCCGCGCTGGGAGCGTGTTTCTGATGGTCCCTTTGCATACTGCATGTGACAAGATAATGTACCCCGCGTCTCTCGCGAGCAGAGTTGAATAATGTGAATATGCAATATGCATCTTTACCACACAGTGCAATGTAGCTAAACGCTTTATGCATGTGTTGAAGCGTGCAGAGACACATCGCTGGTAAATATCATCAGATTAAGGAGTGTTCTAGCCCGACTATCTCTTAGCTCTGTTACCAGAGTTCGTTTTTTCTATTTTACCATCCGATCTTGTTTCAGAAAACTCGCGTAGACGAGGCAGAGGGCTGGTTTCACCGAGCGCAAACAACAGCGCCGAACAACTATGTTGTCTACCTTCATTACGGTGAGTTTGTTTGCACAAACTATTGAAACATATTTAAAAATGTAAGAGGTGGCAAAAAATGATATTGTTAATTCCTACGGTTCTTATAAGGATAACTTGACGTCACTGATAGCATGGTTTTCAATGAGCTGCTTGATCTGTTTCTAACTACGGTTGGCAGTGACTGTTTTATGTTTGCATTCACCTCTTCCCACCACCATGCCCTCTCCAATGGAACCAGCTAAGCTCTAACTTTGCTTCCCTGCAATTCCAGGCCAGTTCCTGTATGAGACGGGCCGGCTGCGCGAGGCAGCTGCTGTGTATGTGCGCGGCACTGAGCTGGCGCCCAGCGAGTATGACCTGACCTTCAACCTGGCTAACGTGTACCGCGAGTTGGGACGCTACCAGCAGGCCGAGGACTTCTACCGGCGAGCGGCGCGCATCCGACCCGAGGTATGGCCGCGCTGTGCGCAGGACGGTTCTGGTCTAATTAGAGGAGCAGAAATGGTTTCTTTTTATACCGACTTTTATATTTTTCCGTGGCATATTATTACAGAAAATATCTTGTTATCCTAAAACAGATACAATAATTCGAATACATACCTATGTCTGACAAGTTTCAAAATCGTTCGAAGCTGTTAGCTGCCCATTGTCACTAATTCATTGCTACTGATTAGTTGCTAATTATCAATCGCGCACTCACTCAATGTCCACTCCCAATGACCCAATGTCTATCAACCAATCGATCCACTAAAGTGACACGCTAGCAGAGCCAGTCTGTCGCAACTCATACTTCACCGGGCTCTTTGTAAAACAACCTGTCTGACACCGCATCTCTGTCCTCAGGACGTGCAAAGCCACCGTAACCTGGGCGCCATTCTGCACCTAACCGGCCAGCTGCGGGAGGCCGAGGCCGCCTACCTGACCGCGCTGCGTCTCAGTCCCGGTGATCACGTGACCGAGGTCAACCTGGAGCGTCTCTACAACGTCATGGAGAGGCACGACCTGCAGCCAAGAGACGCGACCCCTGAGCGACGTGAACGCAGAGCGCGGTCAGCCGCCAACGGCACATGACCTCGGCCCTGACCGCGGCCTTGGGCTGTTGTCGATCGGGCGACGGGCCAGCGACGATAGAGGGAGGGAGATGCGGTCCAGCAGCTCCCTCGCCCCGCCGACCGATCTCTGGCGTCACACGGTCGAGAGTTATACGTTGAATCCTGCATTCCTGGCTCATTGTTGTGCCTGATACCGAGGGCGAGAGGTGGAGCTACCGACCAGCCCCACCGGATCGCCACTATGATCTCAGAATGAACGCGTTGTTTGTCGATCAGTATTGCCCTCCCGGTTGAGAGCGACGTGAAATCGACCGCACACAGAGAGAGTGTTGATCTTGTTCCCCATATCTAATGTGATGATCGTATCGGACGGTGGATAACTATTTTATCAACGTGTTGTTCTTGCAATGTAATACATCTATTGATGGTTGACAAACTGTATTGAGGTGCAGAATGCTCACGCCGATTCTCTCGACCGCTTGATAAGTCACTGAATGATCAGATTATGCAACAATACTTTAGGTAAACGTATTATGAACACCATTTTAACAGGTTATCATAAAATCAAAAGAAAGACAGAAATCAAATACAATATCCATTCTTCCAATTTTTATCTACATCAACATAAACATTGTGTAAGATTAAACCCAATCCATAGCTTAGATTTTTCAGCATAACCATTTATACAACGTCTGACGCCGTCAACTGACCTATGAACAGCTGTGTCACATTGGTCTCCGGGTCGAGCCCATTCTGGGCTTCTCCGAATAGCCGACATCTCTGCAACGCTCGAGCCCTCTCGGGGACCACCAGGCCAGTCGACTCCTCTGCCGAGACGCCCTGGCAACCCGATGACAGCTGCCAATGATGGATGTCGTTTTTGTTTGCCGCTGGCACTATTTGTATTCGGTTTACTATCGACCGAGACGCTCGTTAGCGCCCGTTGGCGTCGTCTATCAGCGCCGAGGGGGCGTGGTCGGGGGGGGGGGGCGTGGCCAGCGGCGGTGACAGACGAGTCGACCCATCCAGCCGGACGGAACACCTCCCGGGCAGAGCCGTCGACCGGAAACGGCGATACCGATCGATGAGTCGAGCCGACACAGAAACCGGAAACGACACCAAATGTCCGCCGCTGAATGGTGCCGAAAGATGGACAGACGTGTCGACAGCGAGACGGGAAGATGTTGCGTCAAATGATACCGGCATCGTCGTGATAATACTGCAGGAGGTGACGAATGATGTATGGAACGTTGAGGGGTATGCATTTGCAGCTCTGGAAAGAACAAATCATGGGTGTGCGTGAACGATTTCAATATCTGCTTTGATACTTATTTTACCAAACGTTTACGAGAATGACATCAAGTTTCTGTCCCTTTTTTGATTTGTGATAAATCGTGAAAGTCGTGAAAACATAGCAAAACTAATAAGACACTGTTCCTTTTCTGGCGCATTAAGAAGCTGCCTATCCAACCTTAGGAAAATGCGAACAAGGGCATTTCATGTATCTGATTTGCTTAGGCAGAAACAAGCTCTAGTCAGCCTTCCACTTCGGCGATTCTACTGATCGTTCTCAAAATACGATAGCAGCTGCACGTCAGATCAACATGTTTGGCTCGGAACACTATCCAATTTGGTTGCAAACACTTCAGCTTAACATGATACACCGAGACTACAGACTGCCTAAAATCAATGCAATGTATGTGGATGCACAACAACGGGCCCAGAAACGTAATGGAAGGACTGCTGGCCTCGTGGGGCATGACGCTTTGGTATTGCGCAATGCTGAATAGTTAAATATCGACGTGAATATATACAAAAATATACAAGTCACTCCATGGAAAAGTGGCCTTACTTATGCTTGTATACGCATTGCATAGGATAACTGCATGCAATACATACCTACCGATGATACATACCTCGTGATGCCTTGAGAAGATTTTGTGTAAGATCGCTGTATCTGGGAATGGTTTCTCGCAGCATACTTGCATCCAGTGATGTCGATTTTGTATGCACTTCATTTATCAGAAACATGCTAAGTGGAATACACGTAATGATCGCTATTCGCTATGCTATTCCAGAGAAGTATGCGGCGAGATATTAAACTGCTCCGTTCCACAGCCCAGAGAACGTGCTGGACCAAAAGTGGATCTGCAGGGCGTCACCAAAGGGATGACTTGGAAATTGAATCCACTCCTTTCGGCGATAAGCGCGGGAGGATAGAGGAATTCGAGTGCGCCGTCTCAAGTTACGACCTAGTAATTTATTTCCAATGAGCCATTTCAACAAAATGTGGGCTTCGACAATAATCGAGCGAATATTTCAGAGGATTTGAAAAGATTCTGCCTTCATATAAGAAAAGATTCAAAAGGATACCCCAAATTATCCCATCTTATACATTCCAATATCTTAGAATGTTCAATGTCCATTGCATTACGAGATCATCCTTGCAGTCATATGCGTATGTTGAGCTGTAAAAAACGCATGTCGCGACCACCTGCCAGAAGGAATCAGAAATTGCCATACATGCATGCCTGCCGGATTTGAATGAAAGCGTACCTTTGCATATCGTATACGCATATATCTTCATATTGTATGCAAATTTTACTGTAGAACAAGTTCACCAAATTCACAACAAACCGACCATTCAACAAAAGACTTCAGATCAGTGCAGGAACAAAGTGACTATTTCTCAATGTCTCCCTGGTCCCCTTCCCCTCACCCCACGTGGGGCACCCCCGGCGGCCGGTGCCGATACGATCTGCCGACCTCCGGACGGTGACAGGTCGCCAGCCGTTCCCGCTATTTATCGAAATGTTTGCCGGGGGCGCACCATCAAATCGGTTAAAAATGGCGCCAACTGCAGCTGCTCGCGGCGGCGGCGGCGCCGACCCTAAATCGCCGCCCGATCCAGCTGTCCGCAGACGGCGGCGGCGGCGGCGGCGGCGGCGGCTCAGGTCGACGCAGTTTCGTCCGCCGGTGCTGACCGGCCCGGTGGGAACAGACCGGCTGGACCGCCAGCCGCCGGATCAGCTGTCTTCGCCCCACGGAGAAACCGGCAGACGCCAAATGGCACCGGCTTTGTTCGAGCTCGACTGTCTGCGAGGCGTTAGAACCCAAGTTTCACAGTAAACATAAACTACCCTCATCTGGCCTGTCTGGCTGTCGGAGGCGGCGCGGCGGGTTTCCTCTCCCTGCGGTGGTTTCTCCGCCGATATCTGGGAGCGCCGTGCGCGGTGAATGGAGACCGGCAGAGGCCATTCCGCCGTCTATACCGGGCCGGCGCGCTCGGCGGAAGCCGGCCGTAATCGAACGCCGAGCCGAGGAGACTGGGCCGTATCCCCAGAGTAATTACCACACCACAAACATGCCTGCGTCGAGAGAATGAGCCCGCAGGCCCGCAGGAGTTCCCCCGGGGACGCCTGTTTATCTTTTATTTATACCACGAGGCACATAATTCGGATCCGGTTGATCACAGAAGCAGGAAAAGATGAGGAACAGGAATGTCGATTCGTACGCTGAAAAGCGCGTAACTTTGTTATGGTTGATACTTGATAGTGTCTTGCTGTACGAAACCGAATTTATGAGACTAAATATTCGGTTATAAGCATCTATTTTTGTTTAACTTCAACCAGTTTTACCGAAAGCACGAGAAGGAAACCTCAAACGGCACAAACATCATGTTAGGTATGCATTAACACACTAGCTTTTTCCTTTCTATTCTTTCTATTATCCCTGGGAGACGTTTGCTCAGTCTTTCCCAGGACGTTGATGACTCTGCGTCTGTTCATCTAGAGCAGGGGTCGGCAAATGGTGGGGCATGCCCCCTTTGGGGGTAATGGAGCCCTTTCGGTGGGGGTAATGAGGGATTCTGAGAAAGCCTATCTTTTTAGAGTTTGTAGCTCCAGTGATGGAGCCATCGTGACTGTTGCATCCCAGGGTTCAAAGGTTAGCCCAGGCCAAAGGCACAGCACACTATTGATTAGATACCAATTTTCACGTACCTGCTCGCCTCACCATCTCACCCCTCCGTACAGTCGTTCAAAAGCAGCTGCAACTTTTAACCGTCGCCCGTCTGTTGGCGTTTCAACAGCCGCTAACGTAAGGGGGAGGGGTCGATCGGACCCCCGCGGCCTCTCGGACTCTGATATGGAGCTGTGCATAAAAAAGACGAGCGGGCTACCCGTGACCATAGGAAGCCGCTGCTGCCCATTTTTAAGGTCCTTGGTCATTCCGTCTCATTCAAGAGGGCAATGATAAGTGTCGAGAAAATCGGGACCCGCTATAACTTCTTGAAGTGAGATTTTATGGCTCAAGATGATCTCCAGAAAAAGCTCATAAGCCAACGGTCATTATGGGTCCAGAGGCCAGTTTTACCAACAGAAAAATAGCCGCCTGCCGGAATTTTTGCCTAAAGATCGTTTCACATATGGAGCGTAAACGGTAAAGCCCTATCCGCTTACGAGCCCATCGCGTTTACGCTCCGTATGTGAAGCGGTCTTGAGGCAAAAATTCCGGCAGGCGGTTATTTTTCTGTTGGTAAAACTGGTCTCAGGTCATGATATTTTCCGGGCTGGTGAAAAAAAAAATGATGGGCTCGAGGGTACAATTTGGTCGTGATCCAATGCCTTTTACGTGAGCTTTTAACGAAAAACCACCCGCCGCCCCTATACGTACAAGGGTTAAATGGGATATAGCATAGGCGGCGGAACGGGGAGGGCACCGGGGCACCGTGCACCCTTTGATTTTTGCATTTTAACATTAGCCCTATGGGCGTTGCATGGAAAGAATGGGACCAAAAGTCGGCAGTGCTCCCCCCCCTCCCCCTTAATTGAAGGTGTTCCGCCGCTAATGAGATATAGGCATTAAATGTTTTGTGGAGGTAGTGTCATGTTTTAAATTTGATGCATTGGAAATGCACAAATACCCAAAGAGTTCCAGGACGGTATGGAATTTCAGTAAACATAGTTGTGTCAGCAATGGGGTCTGGTAGGTGGGGGTAATGGCCCTGCCTGGCGCCCAAAAAGGGGGCACGACCCCGAATGACCTGCCGACCACTGATCTAGAGGCTCATCAGCGCTATTGGTGGCTCCGACGGCAGCCACTCACCTCTGAACAGAAGGGAGCATAACAGACACCCTACGGGTACTCCCGACCCCGCCGCACAAGTACGTGTTTAGCGGAGGAGATCGGCAGCGCAGACCATTTCTTTTCTTCCCCTCGCCCTACCGCTCGTCCACACCCTCTCCCCTATCTTTATCCCTCTGGCAAGATGGCAGGGCAGCCACATTCCCTCTCCAGCCCACTGGCAAGGTGGTAGGGCGGCCACAGGCAGGACGGGACCGCGGCCACGTAAATGGACCATTTGGTTTATGTAGTGGCAATTTGCCCCACCCGGAGCCGGCTAGGACCGGGCAGATTAAACCGAAGCGG